TTAGGCAACAACGAGTTCTGATTGCATGGCTTCTTCTCATCTTTCTAAACTTCTACCATTGTCACCATTTATTTGCTGTCTCCAGACAACCTATTGATACGAATGATGATTGTATGTGATTTTTCAGATCGGCTAGAATCAGCTTGTTATAAATTAATCCCTTGTGTATTTGACACCGCATGATTATTTTCATTGAGATCTTTCTTCCCTCTTGCAGAAGTCTCTTTTCCTTTGGCCAAAGGAACTATTTTATCCATCATCTTGGACATTTGTTCTCTCATGTCTCTTATCTCCTTTTGCTCTTCATCGGACATACGATCTTTGGGTATATAGCTCTTCAGTATTCTCAGAGCTTCCTCAAGATGTCACTCCCTAGCTGTATTATAATCTACTTGATCATGAAACCCTTTATCCATCATGAAAACCTTTTACTCCAATGACCACTCACAATTCAACACCTATGAAAAATGTCATGATCAAGTGATGCAAGCAAAAAGAAATGCAACACAAAATATAAGTTAGTACAAATAAAATAACAAAGTGACAAGAATTATTATAAAAGAAATAATAACAAAATACATAGATTAATGAGCTAATGTAAAACAAGAATGCAATTTAAATACAAATGCACAAGATGTTAATCCAAAAGCGACCACCATAAAATAATCTCAATCAGACCATAAGTTCTCCTTACATTAGACAGACGAGCTTCATTTTCTTCATTTACACTAGACATACGAGTTTCATTTTAATTCATTGACTACGATTGTTTCTCTAGCCCTTCATTTCCATGGGATTCTCTACGAGAAAAGTGGCATTGATATCTCGTGAAGGAAATTCTCATTCTTCTTTCGTCGATCAACTTTGTTTGTAAGTCGTCTCCCTTATGGATTTGACTACCTAGTTATGGAACTCTTATGTCGATATGAAAACCTTCTAATTCGGTAAATCACTTCTGAATTAACACCTTGTTCGGTTATGATGTGAAAATGCAAATACAAACAAAAGACAAAGAAAGATAAGAGAAAATAAATTGTTAGTGCCATTTAATAAAAAAAAACAGAAAAATATTTACGAAAAGAAAAGATCATACCCAACATGGTGTCTACCCTGACATGCGTTTATAACAGTTCTGCCCAGACATGTTTTCTAACCCCATGCTTTGTTCGACATATAAGTTCGAACCTCATGTCATCTAGTTTACAGGCTTTGTATGGAAATATAAAACTTAACTACATACTCTTCTAGTTCTCATGCTTTTTACAAAATAAATAAATAAATAAGTTCAAGGAAAGGTTAGAATGAGTTCCCCTTTGTGACTTTTGAAGAACCACAGACAAAATTTTGGTACAAAATAGGCAGAGTTTCAGTGCTACTAAAAGGGTCCTCGAATTGTCCTTTGCTGGTTTCCCATTAGGCGTGTCAGACCCTCGATCCTCACCCATTATAGGCTTAAACAGATTGAGTTCAATTCGAGAGGATGTATTCCCCCATGTCCATGCGAGGAAACTCCATGTTTTATTCGTAAACACGAGGCATATGCACCCCAGAGGATACTTGCTAAAGCCCATGCGGAGAAAAATACTTTTTCCCATGTAAGCGTAGCATTCACTACCTAACGGGACAGAGCACAATTAGAAGTCTCTAAATACTCTAACATTTAGTAGGAACTCACAAACCTTTTTCCTCGATCCAAAAACAAACAAACTTAAAAAAATGTCAGAAATCTAAAACACTGGAAATAACATATTAGTACAACTAATAAATAAAAGATGTACAATGCGATGCAACAAAAACATAAGGATCCAAAATTTAAATATCATTCAAATTTACCATTTTCGATTAAAAAGATGATGTATAATCGATTACGGCCTGACTCTCTGATGCCTCCAGCGGAGTCGCCAAGCTATCGGAACGGTCCTTAAGCTTTTAGAGCTATGGCGGGGATCGATCCAACTTAATCTTGGAAAAGGTTAGGTTTTAAAATAAATGTATAAAGAAATAAATTTGTAGTCACCATCAACCTTAGGGTTAGATAGGTCAAATACCTAAAATACCTTTTAAAATAATTTTAAGAAAAATAATTTTAAAAGATAAAAAAATGATCTACATTTAACCAGAAATTCGTTTTGGAAAAGAGTTCGGGAGTCTATTACGTGTGGGGAAGGATTAGCACTCCCACAATGCCCGAAATCAGTATCTAAGCAATTATATGTCATCTAAATATTGAAATTGGCAAATTCGAATATACATTTAAATTATTATCCTTTTTAGAAAAAAATAAGGGTTGTTATTTTGCATGAACAATTCTCGAAATAACTTCCTTGTCAGTTAAAGGGGCATTTCCATGGATTCCCCATAAAAAATAATATTGACCAAATACATATATTAATTATATTAAAAAACAAATTCATTCGAATATAAAATGTATTATTTTTCTCGAACAATTCTTGGAAACACACTCCTTGTCAGTTAAGGCACTTTTTTATAAGTTCCTCAAGTAAAATAACATTTGAAAATATTACAACTAGTGAGTAATTAACAAATAAATGAATGATGGATCAAAATAATAAAGATAGTGACTTTTGGGATTAAAATATACAACCAACAAGAAATAAAAGAAACCATTGAAAATATTTCACAATCCAAGCACACTACAATCGTAAATACATCAACTTTAATCATTCAAGACCTAAATGAACATATTTAAAATTTCGAGCTATAATTTAAAATAAATAAAAGTTAGTAACTCAAGGTGACCAAATTGTAACACGCACAAAATAATAAGGTCAAAACAGAAGCATAATAATCTCGAGTGAGAACCAAACATGCAAATAAACTAAAACAAATAATATTAATTATAAAAGTGATCAAAGTATAAACCAAATAAAATTAGAAGTTCAAACAGAAAATAAAAACATCCTATAATAACCAAAGACAAATATTACAAAATCATAGACCCTTCCCTCATAAATATCCCATAATACTATGATAATAAACAATGACGAAAATATAAATGTGTAAAGTAAAAAGGATCGAACACAACATTAATCTTTTTTTATTTCATGACCAAAACAAAACGATTACAATAGTGAGGGATCTCGGGTGCTATTAACCCCTAAAAGTTGAAAAAGACGGGTGAAGGCTAGAGGAAACGGTGTCATTTTGGGGGATTTATATACCCCTTTTAATTTTCAGAAAACCCTCACCCCTCATTCTCAACCTAGCCACCTTCAACCATTCCCTCTTCTTCTCTTCCTTTCTTACCTTCCACCGCTGAGGGAGAATGAAAAAAAGCTTCGGCCACTGTAAATCGCTGGCCATAGAGTATGAAAGGGTCTTCCCCTAAAACTAAACCCCTCACAACCAAATCCTGAACCCAAATTACCCAAACTCCATCACCAAAAAAAAGAACCCAAACTCCCACAGGTAAACTATTTACCTTCAATGATGGAGTAACAACTCTCTGGTGAAGCCACGGTGACCAAACCCTACTAAAAGTAGGTCTTTTTTTAATGTTTTTTTCTTTTTGTTGTTCCAAAATCCCTCTACCTTCTCTTTTTTTCCTTTTCGATCATTTTTCTCTCTTTGTTTTTCTTATTGGTCGAATGCTTCCCCCTTTCCTCCAATGGTTCGAATCTCTCCCCCTTTTTTAATCTGATTTCCCCTGCTTAAATCTTCGTCCCTTTGCGTGTTGGTTTGGTGATGGATCTGGTGAAAAAATGAGGCTACGACCAAGGGAATGATTTCCCTAAACATGCATTCAAAGATCCAAATTTTTCCGGATTTTTGAATTTTTAAATGGGTCTTGCAGTGGATTTGAACTGATTTAGTTGTTCTTTTACTTTTTATGTGAGGTGATGATGTCTAGGGTGGTGAAATGGTTGTTGTAATAGCTGAAAATTGGTGGCCAGAATAGTGGCAGAGGCGTAAGTTGAATGCGACGACGACGAGTAATTAGGATTTCAACAAACCCTAATTAGATTTCTGTTGGGCTAGAGTTTTGGGCCGAGTTCTGCTGGGCCGAATGGGTCATATTGTCTTTGGGTTTGGGTCTGATGACCCTTTGTAATTGGGGCCCAACTTGGGTTTGTATATGGATCTATATAAAATAATATAAATAATATAAATATAAAATAATAATAATAATAATAACGGGTCTCAAGTCTAAAACGGTTGTCGATAGAATGTGTCATATCTTAAGTCATGCCCATGATTCGAACCATGATTTTAAAAAATAAAAACTGCAGAACTCGTTCCTTTTTTAATATTGTTTATGGAGAATAAACTCTTACACAAAAATAATCAAAAATAGCCAAAATCAGTAGAAGAAAATAGACAACGATGAATAATTATCAACAAAATGCGTGCAAATTAAAACACTCATTACCGCACATGGGGATAGTTTCGTTATTGGTTCCACATATAAAACACCGATCATCCTCCGTAATCCCCCGCCTCTTGTGTTGAATGTTGGTCATGAGATGATGATAGAGCACAAGTCAAAGAGTTTTTAATCTTTAATTTTTTAACAAAAAAATCTGAACTAAGATAAAAAAAAAATCTAAAATTAAAATTATCTTATTCAAACTCAACCTTTAAATATGTATTAATAATTATCAAACTTTCAATGATATTTTTTTGTTGTCCTCTCTATTCTAAAGGTTTCGACTTGATTAATTCGAACTGATTAATATCACACACTTAATTTTGGTGGATAAATCTCTCGAAAAGGATTTTTGCATATAAAAGGACTTAAAAATTGAGATATTCTTAACTGATATCAAAATGCTTATTACTTAAATCAATTCTTGATCCTACCCTATTGGTTATGATACTTTCTTTTTAATCAGTGCCATTTTAATAGAAAATTTAATTTAATATAATGGCCAAGATGTAAATGTAGGAGATAGTAAGGGGCAAGATGTGGAGAATAGCACATATTAAAAGATTGGATTTGAAACGGCGCGGAATCTGTCGTTTCCCGATATCTAAACTTTAAACCTCTCATATAATTCAGATTCACAGCGCTAACACCATCAGCTTCCAAATATCTTCTTCCCGTCTTTCCTCACCGCTTCCCATTTCCTTGGATTTTTTATGTTCCATTTGTTGTCCTAAAATCTCTCTTACCAAACATCCAAACCCTAGCTTTGCTGCAAGTTTTTTTCGATGTAATAAATATTTTCCTTTTGGTATGAAAATTCAAGTGAATTGATTATAATTAGCTTTTGGTTACTAATTGAAAATTTTGTTGTTTTCTTTGGTTCATTACTTTCTAGGGAGCTAAATGGAGATATGACCAAGAAAAAATATGCTGGCAAACCTTCTTTCTTTCTTTGTTGAATTATTTTTTGGAAGCCAAAGAAAAATCAGCAACAAGGTTCATTGACTGTTCCTGTCGCTTTATATGTGTTGTTAAGAGTAATCTTCTTTCTTTGGGTGTTTAAATCCTCTTTAGGTTGCTTGCTTTTTTAAGGTAAAAAGATAAGAAAATAAAAATTAAGCTTCGTTTTGTAAATTGTGAAGTTTGTTTTTCAATGGAATAAAAATGAAATCTATTTAACAGCTTGTTTTGGGATTAAAGAGAGCTGATCTAAAGTACGCTGAAAAATACAGATACAAAGGTTTAAGCTTTATTTTTTTTCCAGGATTTAATTGGAGATGGGAATTGATACTACAGTTGATATTTGTTGAGAAGCTAATATTAATATCTCAGGAGCTCTAATTTGTTGGTGTTTGGTTGTTGTTGCAGGTAACCGATCTGTTTAGAAGTGAAGCTAATTTCTTCAAAGTAGCTGCGGAAGATTTGCAGATCTGTTGTGTGGGTTTGGATTCTATAAAACATATGTTTCACTTCAACTAGTGAGGGAAACCAAAAGAAGAGAGAGAAAGAGAGGGAAACATCTGTTGTGTTGTTTTTTCTAAGAACACAACTCCTCTAACACCAACCAACCAACGTTTTTCGAAGTGAACATAAACCCTCTTTTTCATTGGCTTTTTGAAAAAGAGAGTTTTTTTCTTTGTTAGAAACAGCTCTCAGCTTGTTGGTAATTTCAGAAACAGCAAATTTATTAATGGGAAAGTTGTCATTTAATAGTCTTTTTATTAGGATAAATAGTGATGCTGCTGCTGGTGTCTGCCATTTTTAGGGTCAGCTGCAAAAAATAAAAAACTTTTAAATAACTCAAGGAAGAGGAAGGAGAGGGAAAAGGGTTGTCTTTAGATCGGCATCTAACATACAGCAAGCAATTATTGCTTTCGTTTAGCTTAACTGTGAAGCAGAAAAAAAGAGGGTTCTTTCTCAGATTCAAGGTAATATTATAGCAGCAAGGAGAGCTTTCTATTTCAACTTTTGTTAAAGGGATTTATCGTTTTTGAAAAGAAGACTTTTGGTTTTGTTTTTATCACTCTTTTTTAGCTCCTTAGTACACATAAACAACAAAATGTCAGATACCTCTCTCATCTCTCAGCTCAAGGTTTCAGCCCTTTAAGACTTCAGCTAGCGTGTGTGTGTTGCGATGGCCAATGAGTTTGTGAAATGCATCTTTTGAAGCATCGGATAATTATTTTACCTTTTATCTAAATCGTTAACTTTTCTTTTCTTTTCTTGCAGACTGTATCTGCCATTTTTCAGGCTATGCTTTTGAAAGCACTGAAGCTGTAAAAAGCTTAAACGAGAAGGAGGAAGGCAAGTCTCCTGACTTGGACCGTGATATATCAAAGCCTAAAGGAATGCTTTTATCACTATATATAACTAAACTACTGTCTGTATAATCGTCATCAACATAGGGCATCTCAGCTCCACCTCTTGTTCCCTTAAACCACCATCTTCCCCGTTTCACTTTCTAACATTTCTACGGATCGAGTCCCAGATTTTCTCTCTATTTACATGTGAAACAACCATTAAAAGAAAAAGGCAAGAAAGGGTTAGTTTCTCAGGGGGAGGTATTGAGTTTGTGAGAAAGGAATGAAAGTGGCATGGAGGTGGATGAGATTCAGACACAAGCCTCAAAGTTGTCAAGAGTTGGTAATGGTGGGAGAAATGAGTCAAGCAAGATAGATCAGAGAGGCAGGGGCAACTACCCTGATGATAAAGAAGATGGAGCGCTCATCAAAAGGGCTAGTGCAAATGGTGTAGCTGATATTAACGATCTTCGAGGCTGGCACCATTCCTCGAGGATTATTAGGGTTTCTCGAGCCTCGGGTGGCAAAGATCGGCACAGCAAGGTTTGGACTTCAAAAGGATTGAGAGACAGGAGGGTAAGGTTATCTGTCACCACAGCTATACAGTTTTATGATCTACAAGATCGATTGGGGTATGATCAGCCTAGTAAAGCCATAGAGTGGCTAATTAAAGCAGCTGCTGATGCAATTTCAGAGCTTCCTTCACTCAACACTTCATTCCCTGATTCTTCAATGCAATTAAGTGGTGAGAAAAGAACAAGTGGGGGAACTGAACAAGGTTTTGACTCAGCTGATGTCGAGTTAAATGATGAACCAAATAATTACCAACAAAACCAAAGTCAGCAGCACCTTTCTTTGTCCAAATCAGCTTGCAGTAGCACGTCTGAGACGAGTAAGAACTCGGGTTTATCCCTTTCAAGGTCCGAGATCCGTCTAAAGGCTCGGGAACGAGCAAGGGAAAGAGCAGCAAAAGAAAAGGAGAAAGAGCAAGAGCAAGAGTCTCGCATTCCAGATCAACAAAATGTGAACCCCATATCTCAAAACTCTTCCTTCACCGAGTTACTCACCTGTGGCATTGGCAGTGTTAACAACAATGACACTAATCCTACAGCTTCAGCTCATCAAAACCCCAGGCAGTGGCCTGTCACTCAGATGGATTACTTCACAACGGGGCTCCTTGGACCTTCTTCCTCTAGAAACCATTCTTCAGGTTTTCCTGGACAAATCCAACTAGGAAACCCTTTGCCCCACCAACAAATACTTATGCCACAGTTCTCCGTGTCGGGTGAAAACAATCAAGAGTTGCAGCATTTTTCGTTTGTTCCCAATACTGACCATCTGATCCCGGTGGCAACAACACAAGCTGTGGCAGGGGGTGATTACAACCTCAACTTCACCATCTCTTCCGGCCTTGCTGGTTACAATAGGGGGACCCTTCAGTCCAATTCTCCTTCCTTTTTGCCTCATCACTTCCAGAGGCTTTCTTCTATAGAAGGATCGCCACCCTTCTACAGTGGCACACCACCAGTTGACCACCATCAGTTCCCAGCTGGATTAGAAGGCCGCTTGCAGCTCTGCTACGGGGATGGAAGCAGGAACCCAGATCAGAAAGGAAAAGGAAAGAACTAACCAGTTTACTGGAAAAGTTTCCTCTTGTCCCGTTTTTTTCCCTGGTAACCTCAACACTCTCATTTAATCAAACTTCTTTACGATTAGTAGTATTTGGCATCCATAACTATCTTCCTTGCTTTACTTTTCCTTAATTAGATTCAATATTTTTGTGCCTGTTTAACCTTTTTTTCTTTATTATTTTTTTTTCTGGGCCATCCTTTTTGGATAAACGTGTTGTGCTTGTGCATAGAATAATACCATGAACCACTCAATTCCTTGGTTTCTAAAAAGAAATCTGGCATTGGGGGCAAGCTTATATTTGTGTTTTGTCATGATTCCTGCATAGGTTTTTGTGACTAAGGATCGGCTGGTTGTCTCATTGTCTGTTCTCTTCTTCCTGGCTCCCTTCTCCCTGACATATATGAACCAATGCCAGGTGTTAGTTTCTTGGTGGCCAAGCCTTGCTGGGGGCTGAGTTAGATCAATTAAAGTTCAGATTTCAAATAGGGTGTGACCTTGTAAACCTTAACTGCACCACATGGCAAGCTACTGTGTCAGTTTCTTGATTAGTTAAAGTTTCTAGATAATTAACGGTAAACTACACCTGAAAAATAAAAGATAAAAAAAGGGGGACATCTCCATATACATAAGACCTAGAGTTCTCAAACTTCAATACATGCGGCTGCTTCCATGGTAAGTGTTTCTTCTAGGATTAGCAAGGATAAAGCCATGTTTTAATAAAATTTGTATATATTATTGAAATTGAGCTGCCATTGTTCCTATAGTGAAAAATGCTAGGACCAAAATAATTAAAGCAATGAGATTAAAAAGATGAAAAACGATAATTTACTTCATTTTATACATATTCAGTCCAAGATATAATTAAATTCTTAAGATCTAACATCAAATCAAAATCAATAGCGACGAAAAAGATCATTGATAGGAACTAATTACCAAAGTTTCATAATATTATAAATACATAACAATCATAAGTTTCATAATATTAAATAGGCTTATAGTAGAACTTAGGGAACCCTGTACATCCACAATTGATAAAGAAATTGGAAAGTTATATGGTTCAGTTGTGGTGATTATTAACATAGAAATTTAAGTTTTGAGAGTTAAGAATCTGGATATAACATTATGCTAAATGCACCAAAGTCTTATCAAATATTTGTATTGGATAACATGTTTGTATGAGATTTAATCTTTTTAGATATATAAAATGTTAAAAACAATTAATTATAATTTTATTGGACCATATTCGTATGAGATATTTATTTTAAATTCAAAAAACGTTATTTATTATAGATTTATTTGTAGAACTTTTTTATGATATCACTAATAACTTAAGTGTAAATTGTAGGAAGCAAATGTAAAATGCTACTTGTACTAGTAACATGTTTATGGATAAGAAAAATGATGAAGGTGAAGGAATGAAAGTTAAGATGGTTTAGAATTTACTGTTTATTTCTACAGCATACCCTAGTCCCATAAGTTTGTAGCATTAAAACAATACAATGCATTCGTATTTATATTGGATGTCATAAAATAACTATGCAAGTGAACAATGAGATAAAATGATTTTGGAAAGAAGAAAAAAAAAGTTGAAAAAGTCAAGTTTTTTATTAAAACATTTATGCTGATGAATTCATTAAGTTGTTTCCTCCATCTATTCTCTTTACTCAAGAATTTCCTTGATCAAGAAAGAAAGGTAACTCCTTTTTAGAACACATTCAACTCAAATAATGTTGGTGTCTTTGTAAGGTCAACCTAGAGTTCTAGGCAGGGCTTGTCTTTTCTTATAAGGAAAATAGTGATGCTTTAAATTGAGGTTAGATCTTAAGATTGTAGATTTAGATTGGCTATTTTTTCTTAGGAGAAAGGAAGGAAGTGATGTTTTCTTTTGGTCTCAAGGCATTTTTGTGTTGTGTTTTTTAGCTTGGAACAAGATTTTCTTCTAAAGGTTTTAGGTAATACACACACCGCTTGTATCACATTCTAGTGGCTTAATATCTCTAAAATAAAGAAATATTATAGCTGAAGCTACTATGTATTGCATTACATTTAGTTATGCAAAGCTAAAATTCTTGGGAAAGAAGAGGGGTATTACTTTAAGAATTTACAAATAAAAAGAGATTACAACCTACTTTATGATTATCATCTCTCGCCACTACTTTCAAAGTCATTTTTTATTGTCTGAACAAAGATTTAAAGGAAATGGAATCCCCAAAGGAAAAACAATCCTGCTAGCTTTTCCAATGGTTAATTAGTGAAATGAAATGTTAGGGCATTAACGTAATGCTTATACCAAGTGTTAGCTTATCTGTTAGTGGTTTCTTCACAGAGTTGTTTTACAAAACCCATGCTGCTGCAATTAGTTCCTCAATTATTCTGGTCAGAGCTGATACGATAAGGTGATATATATTCTTATGACACGTTTGGTAAATAAGGAAATAACTTAATTATTGCATGCGTTACTGTATGAGTCTTAAAATAGTTTGTCATAACATATTTGAAATTAGAAAGATGAGTAAAACCTCAAGCAAAATATAATACCTATTCAAAATAAGCCTTTTTTATTAAAAAAAATCTTTGTTCAATTGAAATCATGAGTAGCTAAAAATTATCGAGTGAAGTTAATTTATTAATAAAACATGAGGAATAAATATAACACTTATATCAAACTTAGTATTAGGGATGTATGCTAACGGAACATGCTGCTTGAAAGAAATACCATTATTCCATTATGCCATCCAAAAGCATTGCTTGCTGTTGGCACCAAACTTTTTATGATGAAACTTGTGCAGAAACACCATGCTATTCCGCTATGTTTCCGATTAGTATGTGCTAATTTTTGGAGCAATCTTTTTTTGGATGTAGAAAAGAGAAGGTGGATGCAGTGAGCGAATGCCTTTACTTTCCTGCATTGGATGATGGATACATTTATTGTTTGAGCTTCTGATAATTGTTAGTATTTCTGGTTTATCCATTCTGAAGTCGTGATTGTGCTGGCTTTTGGCGTATTGGGATATAATTTATCTATGCCTGCAAAAAGCCTTGTGTGTTTCCAACAAGTATAACTAAACACCATTTCATTCAATTTTAGTCTTTTCTCTTCATCCATATTAATATCTTACAATACTATGAAAAACTCTCTTTATTTATATATATATATATATACCTGTTTGATGAAGTCAAAAATCCTTGTGTCCACGACCATCCCAAAAGACATATAAGCCTTGTCCTAATTTTTAAAAGTAGACTTCTAAAATATTTTATAATAAAGTGAAATTGTATAATATCAAATTTTAATAAGATTGAAACTAGGATGGACGTAAAAAAAATTGTTTGTCAAACACCATAAATTTGATAATTTTTTTTAAGAAAAATTGATAACAATTGAATTATTGAGATAATAAGGGAAAAAATTAAAAGATTTTTTTGTTAAATCTTGGAAAGAGAAAATAATTTCAAGTTAGTAGATTATTTTTCCAAATTATGAGAACCTTTCACATAACTTGATCCACTATGTTTTTCGAGCTTCTATCCATCATTATAGTTATTGACTTTCATGTTAGCCCTACTGACATCCGTTCGACTAGATGTCTCAGTATTTCTGACATGCAAGAAAATAATTCAGAGGTTGGAGTTTTGGGTTTTTAAGTATTTAACTCTAATTTCTATTTTATAATCCATATATGAATTATTGTTAAATTTTAGGGTAAAATACACAAATGATCTTTCGGATACTATTTATTGAATTTATCGGCTATTAAAAGTTATAAAATGATTTTTCGATTATAGGGAGTTGCTTTGTTGAGTCTCTTGATTATTAAAGTTACAAAATGATCACTTGACTATTCATTATGTTATAAACCCGCCCTTTTTCGTTAAAAATTAGTGGTCGTCTGAGTTGGACTTTAACATTTTGAAGGAGACATGATAATCTTTTGAGATTATGAATTTAGATTTTATGATATCTCAATCAGTAGGTTAATGTACAGCTCAGGCTGTCATCAAATTTTTAACAGAAAAGGATGAGTTTGAATCACAATGAATAGTTAGGTGACCATTTTGTAACTTTTAATAGTCGAAGACTTAATAAAGCATTATCGTATAGTTAGGGGACTATTTATGTACTTTACCCAAAATATTTTTACTTGTGAATATACTTCTGAATATATTTAGTAGTTCGTTGTATTTTGTGACTATTGATTTTGATTATTATTGATGAACAAAGTAGAAAGTAGACTCACGCTGGTTCACTCCAATTAGTTTGGATGGAGAATTATGTATGACGGAGATGGTATCGAGCTCGTTAACTATAAAGGCAACAAAGAAAAAAAATTTGAGAAAGAAGATGGGAGAGAGAATTTTGTCTTGTCATATAGAAGGGGATTTTATCCCTTCACATTAAGTGGTGGGCTCCTAAGTATGAAAATGTGATGAATGAGACTTCCCACAAGTTCTCACTGATAGTATTTTTTTATCAGATAGAATAATTAAAATATATTTGAATATAAATTATTTATAATTATGATTGAATTGCAATTGAAAAAACTAATAAAAATCTATTGTTAACTCTAGTGGTAAGAGTTTACGTTTGAATATTAATGATTCAAGTCATAACGTTGATATTGTAGTGTGTAGGTGTGTTCGCCTGTATTAGAGATAAAATGGGTTTAGAATTAGTACTGGCTTATCAAAGAAAATTGGAGAGAATATTGAGCGCGTGAATGAATTGTTTTCGTTTTAGTGCGCGATCCATTTTCCACCGCTATACCTGCTCTACTGCCGGATTAAATACAAGCATGTGGGTCACATTGCTCCTCATAGTTTTAATTTCCCATCTTAATAGAATATAGATTAAAGCCCAACATAATCTCTTCTTTATCAACTCTGTTAAGGCAGGCTTCTGTTATATATTAAAATGACTGCAAGAATCCAGAGTTCATTCACGTGGATCGCAAGCTATAGACATAAACCCTCATGTGATGAAGAAGGAAACAGAAACAGCTAATTGCCGAGTCTAAAAAATAGAACCAAAATCATAAAAACA